TAATATCAGATGATGATGCATTAATATTTGCTCCAACTTCTACATAATTTACTACACTTGATTCAACAAAATGTGTTTGATTTAAAACAGATTGAGCAGAGCATTCTAGATTGTTTAATTGATTTTTAATTACACGGTTGAAATGGCGTTTAGAAACTGAACACTTTTTCATAGTTAATAGTTATTAAATTAAATGATAAGCACTTAAAACCAATGTGTTCTGGTTTGTAACTTTTAGCCTATTATAGGTACCTATAAAGTATAGTTATTATAATATTAGTATCTAATAATATAGTATAATATTAATATATTATTTATTAATAAGACTTCTTACCTGAATTTCTATAAGTAGGTACAAATTGTTGACGATTTTGTGACGAGTGACGACCGTTGTAATGTTGTATAAATTATTAAAATATTAAATCATAAATTCATAAAATAAGTAATAACTATAAGTAGGTACCAATAACGTACTGTACAGTCTGTACTACAACTGTTAGACGTCAGTGTGTGTATTGTGTGGCGCGTGCCGGGCTAAGAAAGGGCCGGGGAGTCGACGTGCAGCGGCATTGTCGGATTATCGTCGTCGTCCGTCGACATCAACGATGGCGGGGTGAACGCCATAGATATTGAATAATAATATCTAAATATAAATATAATGTGGTTTTGTCCGGAGGATCAGGATTCAGGACTAGGCGCTGGCGAGCGATTCGCGATCTGGTCGAAGGAGAGTACGCTAAATGCAGCAAGCAGGGGGCCGTAGTGAGGGAGTATTGTTGTAGTAATGGTTCACTACAATTATTAACTAGGTATGTACTATCGATGGTGAGGGCAAATTTACAAATAAGCACTTGCATCGGTTGTACCTATTTACAAATTATTGTGCATAGCGTATCTATAATTGGTACGCTATATATTATAACTACAGACTACGTCCTGGTTACACATTATTATAGTGTTTTTGTATAATATTATACTATATATTGCAATACTGAAATCATAGTTTTCAATAAATTATTTTGGCATCCAAAATAGTATATGAATGGAATATATCCAATTGAATATATTCTTTTACTAATATTCAATGTTTATCATGGTGCGAATATTCTAAGAATATGTAATATCGAATACTAATTACATTTATAAATTAAGAATATATAGTAAGACATATGTATAGAATATTATAAGCATCTTCTTTAAATTATATCCAAATTGGTATATTTTAAATATATGCTTTGTAGTGCTTGGATATCTATAGAGTACTTAGTATATTTGAGGAATACCATATGAATATCTAATGTTATGTGGGGTGTACTAAAAATTAATATATATTTAACCTATTATGATTTTCAAATTGCTGTATTTGTTCTAAACATGAACAGATTTCTTGATGAAAAGGGAGTGCCAGGAGTCATATCGACTATAGACTGTACCCATATTGCCATATTTCCACCTAATTCAGAAGGATTATACCCTGAACACATTTATGTGAATCGCAAGGGTTACCACAGCATTAATACACAATTAGTAAGTTATTAAGGAACATTCCATAGGTAGTGTAATTTAGTTGTATGTCGTTGCACTTTTTATTGAGTATGAGTAGAAGTGTAGAACCATAGTGGTAACTAGAACTTTAAAATTTAGTTTAATTGATAAGATTAGTAATAGATTATTAGTTCAATATTACCTACAGAAAAAAAAACCCATTGTTCATTTTAATTTTAATACATCACATCATTGCTCTGTTATTGACTAAAGATTTGTGACTCTGATGCAAGAATAATGAATGTTAATGCTAAATATCCTGGTAGCACTAATGATTCATTTATATGGTGGCAAAGTATGATATCCACTTACATGGAAAACTTGCATGACAATGGACATACTTCATATTTTTTATTAGGTAGGAACAGTGTTGAGAATAGATAACGAATATTTCATCTAGATAAGATACAGATAATTATATTAAAATTTATCTAGATACAGATAAAGATAAATACATTTTACATTTATCTAGATACAGATAAAGATAAATACATTTTACATTTATCTAGATACAGATAAAGATAAATACATTTTACATTTATCTAGATACAGATAAAGATAAATACATTTTACATTTATCTAGATAAGATAAAGATAATCTAACTTTTATCTAGATAATATATAGATAAAACTATTTTTTAGTATATTTAAATAACAAATATACATACTTCTTTACCTACATGAACATACAGTAATAAGTGTACGCAGACATTACTGGCAGGGTAGTCATACATAACACATTGACATTTAACATTTACAAACAATTTGGATAGAATAACCTCATTTAACTGCATTTGCCATACTAAAAAGTTTGCAGAGTAGTCAAGTGCCTACTCTGATTACCCTGTGGCCTGTACGCATGCTTATGTATAAAATAACTAATAGTAAGTTAAAAGGTACCTGGCACATACAATGAAAAAGGTAGCTAATTAATTATGTATTTTTAACTTGGTTAATTTTTTTGGGCGTAAGCATTTTCGGCCAAAATGTACCCTTCCATTTTCGGCCAAAACTTACCGTTCCCTTTTCGGCCAGCACCTACAGTTTTCTTTAAAATATGTAATTAATAATTATATATATTATATATAGGTAACAACTGAACTTAACAATTTTTGTATATTTTAATTAAATATGATTGTATTCAAAAATATAATTTTTGATAAACATTATTACCTACAACTGAGTGAAAAAATAATAAAATAAAACAATTGGCAATAAAATGATTTCAATCAAATAAATTACCTAAAAATTAATTTTCGTTTGAAAAATGTTACTAATTTTATTATCTTTACTCTTCAATGTAAGTTTATTTTAATAAAGATAAACCAGTGTTACATGGATGGTACATTTAAATTTTGTCCTCGGTTTTTTACTCAAATGTTTACCATCCACATACTTAAAAATGGACATTATATTCCTATTATATATTATTATATATTATTATATATTATTATACTGTCCTGATGACGAAAGATTAAAAAATTACTGTGATTACTTGACTGACAATTTCATAAATGGGGGACGAGGTGGCCGAGCGGTCGGACACGTCGTCTGCGGCGCTGGCGGTCGCGGGTTCGATCCTCTCGACCACTGGGCGGTATTTTTCTCCGGGCAAGTCACGGTGTCCGGAGAACAAGTGCCGCCATCCCCCACTCCGGGGCATGGCAGAAACCTACGGGTGCCCCATTCAAAATTCTGCCAAACCCAACACACACGTGTTCCTCCCCCTACCGACATAACAACACCCCAAAATATAAACCACTAACACCCAATGGCCTATGTTGCCGCGGGTTATCCAATAAAAAAAAAAAAAAAAAAAAAATTTCATAAATGAAGAGAGCTTATTTCCATCTCAATATTGGGCTGCTGCGCCGGGAAGTTTGGCTAGAACCACTAATGCTTGCGAGTCGTTCCACTCCTTTTTCAATCAAAGCTTTTATAAACATACTCCATCCATAATGAGCTGGTTATCTGTCCTTATTAATGAAGTTCAAACAGATATATACATAAAAATGAGAAGTATTAGCATTTTAAAACACCTCGTGATGCAAAAAATGTAGAACGACAACGAAGAAATGAAGCTTACATTAAAGAATATAAAAATAGTAAAATATGTCGTTACAAATTTGTAAAGCAAATATCATATAATTATAAAAAGTGAATTTTACTATCATCATTATTTTTTACATAGGTATTATAAGACTATATTATTTTTTTTTCAACTAATGGATACGGAAATCATAATATTTTCAATTTTGACATATTCATGAATTATTGAATTCATATTTTACTTTCATAATTATTATAACATAGGTATTACAAGACTATGTAAATTTTTTTTCAACTAATGTGAGTAATCGGAAATCTTAGTATTTTGCAATCTATTCATGAATTTATAATAATATAATATAACATAATCAACTGTAATAATAATATGCCAATAATTGTTTTATTTTTTATTTAATTAAATATAAAAATTGTTAAGTTCAGTTTTTATAACTGTCGGTGTTATAACTTAGCAACTGTAGGTGCTGGCCGAAAAGGGAACGGTAAGTTTTGGCCGAAAAGTGACACTGGCCGAAAAGACCCGGTTGGTAGTTTTTTAAATAGTCCAGCTTTTATAATTTAACTCGTATATTTATTTTAACATATCGTCGGCTAAGACGTAATACCCCGTACGTCAAAAACATTCATTTTTCAGGAGACACATTTTTGTGTTTATAAAATCAATGTTTGTAGTTAGTTTAGCCTATGTTTGAAATAATTTGTTTAGACAATGTTTTCCATTAGTCTATAATAAAGTTTTAATCATAATTCGTTTTTAAAATGTTTTTTTTAGACTTACGAGATATTGCATTAAGTATATTGAAAATGGATATTGACATACGAGCTATTATTACTTTATTGTTTTCTAGCTGACTGATGTAATTACATTGTTAAATAAAAATTGTTGGATCAGGGGTTTTTATTTATTGAATCTTTTAATACTTCAGCCTTTTGAATTTATTATTAAACCATAATTAATAATTATAGGTAACAATCAAGGTATTAAAAAGTAAACGTTATTTTAAAACAGAACTAAATTTGTATTTGTAGTTACATTCAGACTTTGAATTATAATTATAATATAACACCATACATTATTTTAAAACAGAACTAAAAATGTATAGTAACAATCAAAATATTAAAAAGTAAACATTATTTTAAAACAGAACTAAAATTTTATAGTTACAATTAAAATACTAAAAAGTAAACATTATTTTAAAACAGAACTTATTTAGTATAGTAACATTCAGACCTTGAATTATAATAAATTACTATCAATAAAAATACAAAAAAATAAAAATAAATAAGTAGAAAAAAAAGCTTTAAAGCCTTGGTTTTATATTTCATAACATTAAAAAATAGACATTATATTATTAATTACAATAGTGTAGTTAAGTTAGTTTTAATATTTAATCATATTTAATATGATTATAAAACTCATGACAATCATTAGGTATTACTTTTTTCAGTTGCTGTAAATGTTCCCACTTACTTTTGGGAATTTTCAATTCTTCTGCATGAAGCTGACCATAAATAATAGGAGATGTTATTTTACACATTTTTTTTCTTTTCTTTTGAGCCAATCTGAGATCAGAGTACTCATCATCAAAATTAGTTTTAAAATCAATAGTGCCATTTGAATTGTATCGGAGTGACTTTATATTTGTAACAGTTGGATCTCCAGCTGATTTTCCAGGTCTTAATGAGTCATATCTATTTAAATCAATTTGATATTGTTTAAAAAATGATGTATCACACCATTTTACATTATAAGGAAAAGGTTTTTTCCTAGCACTCTGTGTAATTTTTAAATAATCCGAAGGTAAATAAATATCTGCATTCTTCAACTTGCGTTCAATATTGGAATGAACTGAGTCACACTCCATTTGGGTGTGCCCTTTGGTCAAATATTTTTGTTCAATAACAACTTTATTGTTTATGGCAAACTCTAACAGTGCATTTGACAGTACATTATTCCTATTTTGGTAGCAGCAGCCATCACTCCAGAGTATTATATTTAGATTTGGATTTTTGTTATGGCATTCTGTTAATTGATCTATAATACAACTCACAAATGATGAAGCTGAAAGGTCACTTTGGGTCTCATCCCACCAATAGCAAGTGGACTCATGTGTTGCCAAATTATATGTAGTAAAATTATGCACACATAGTTTACTTTTATAATATAGAGCACTTGCTTTAAGATATGGGCAGACTTTAACCGCTTGCAGGTCCATTGTAAACACCAGTATTTCATTAAGTAAAGCTTTTTCTTTGTCCAGACATTTTTCTTCTCTACTTTGATTTTTATCTTCAATGTGGTCTTTCCATTCTTTTTCACTAATATTATTGGTTTGATAAGAACAACAAGTGTCACACTGGTCTTTTTTGGGGCTGAATAGAGATATATTATTTTTTTCAACAATGTCATAAAAGGTGTTTATTGAAACAATATTATTCTCTTTTCCTTCATTATTACACATCTCAATATACATGTTATACAACTGGGATTTTGATTGTATGTATGGCTCAAGGTAAAGTTTAGAAGTTGATGTTCTACAATAATGAGAGGGCATTTTTGGAATTTGTTCAAGAAATTTATTTACAAATTTTCTATTTTTTTTATGTGGACTATCCCTTAAACATCTAACTTTTGGTGTATTTGGACTTAGCTCACATTGTTCTCTTGTTATGCACCAATTATGAACTTGTGACTCACCCAATGCTAGGGTGTTTAAAAACATTGTTTTACATACATTCAAGAGTTCTCCATTAACTTTTAAAAAATAGGAAAAAGAACTATTTCTTCGTGACACTGTTGAATCAACTTTTCGCTGTTTAACACTAGTCTTTTTTACTAAGGAAGTAACATAAATCTTTTTTTCTGACCAGCTAAGATTGGACCAAAAATCAGTGAATACCCTCAACCTGTCATCCTCCAGTATTTCATTACACTTTCGTTTAATAGACCTTTGACAAGATATTTTGGTACATGTAGGGAGCATAGTTTTAGCTTGTCTATTTGTGTTGTGAGAGATTACCTTTTCTTTAGACCGTGTATAGCCTAAATATGATTGTCCTTTCATACGTAGTATTTGATTTGAATTTCTTTTCCATTTGCTTAGATTTTTTTTCTTATTTCTAATTCTTTTTTCATTTATATCACCATTGAGTATGTCTATTGAACCATTATTGTCACTCTCAGAATGTAAAAAATCATTGTGTTGATCCATAACATCAGTAGTACTCGGTATAATATTACTTGAACAATTATACAAATTTTCCGTTTCTTTAGTATAAAGTAAGTTAATATTATTAGGGTCAACTGTAAAAATTACAAAATAATTATATTAATTGAATAATGCAATTTAAATGTTTTACAATTGCAAACTAACTTTCATTAGGCAAATTATCATCTATATTGTTACAGTTTATAGTATTCATACTAAAAGCTTGGACTGTTTCTGTTTCTTTATTATCCAGTTGGTTTATATTAGGGTCAACTGTGAAATTACAAAATAAATTACATTAATTATTGAATAATGTAATTTAAATATTATAAAGTATTATAGGTATTACTGCAAAACTTACTTTCATTAGGCAAATTATCATCAATATTGATAGAATTCGTACTAATATTATTATTATCTTGGACTATTTCATCCCACTCTGTAAAAAGAAGAAATATATTAAAAAGGTTACTACTGTAACTAATTATGATACTATTAATGTATGTTAGGGCATAGGCACAATGTACATTAAAATTAAACTATAATGTTTTTGAAACTTACGTAGATTTTCATTATCCAATTCTTTTAACAGAAAATCAATCTCGTTTTCATCCATTCTTATAAATTATTTTGAACAGCTTAATAGTTACAAACAAGATAAAGTTAATATGTAATAAACAAATTTAACTGAATTAAAATGAGGAATTCGCACTTCAAACTTCAAACATACTGTGTGATACCTATATTTCTATCAAAATATTATTGATAACATACTATCTATTAGATTTAATAAATAATCAGTATTACCATTGATTATGAATACTATATTTTATTATTACAAATATTTATTATTTCTATTTATAAATTGATGGTATTGTGGCACCAGAACCGTTTGTTTGCAGTTGCCGCTGTATCAGTGTGCCAGCCGACGTAATTTATTAATATTTTGTCCAAGGAGATACGATGTATTTCTGACAAAATACTGATAATTGATTTACGCGATATTGCGTCCAAGTTTATATTCTCTTTGGAAATTATGAGCTATACGTGATATTACCATTAAAATATTCCATATTTTTTTCTGTAAATTTTGATGCATATATCTCAAAATGCCTTTTTTTTGACTTACGAGGTATTACGTCTTAGCCGACGATATAAGTTAGTAGTTTTTTAAATAGTCCAGCTTTTATAATTTAACTCGTATATTTATTTTAACATATAAGTTAGTAGTTTTTTAAATAGTCCAGGACCAGGACTACAGAAATCGTTTTTGTTTCTACGCCCAAAATTCAAAGACCTTACGTTGTGGTTAATTTCGACATTTTAAAATATTAGGTATACACAAATGTTTTTGTATAATTTTGTTAAGCACAGCTTCAAAATGCATGCACATGTTTACTAAATTATTCCCATAGTTTATCCCAAATATTTTGGTTTTTGATCTCGCCGCAATGAAAGGTACACATGGTGCATTATTATCGTAAATATATTTCATAATTATTGTATCATGCATATAATACATAATATGCACATTTGCTTATAATGGTTGGACTATAATACCTAGTTTTTATGTATTTAAATAAATTAAATTCACATACAATCCAAATCAATAAATTGTTTTGTTTAATGTTTATACATTGTGATTTTTTAAGAATGTTCACTTTTTTATGCTTATAAGTTATAAATAAAGCATATTAATATATTATATCTAAACCAATAGTCGAACGAGTAGTTTTTCAGTTATAATATACACTCATACCCACTGTTTATTTTTTTAATTCTATTTTTATGGATTATTATTTTTTAAATATTTACATATTAGTTACCTATTACTATAATAACTCAGAAATTAGGTACCTAGGTACTCAATAAGTAGTATGGTTTTGTTCCTTCTGAGCACCTTTTTTACAGGGAGATTTATTCAATTCAAGGACATTTCTACATTCTCCACCGTGCATTTCTGAACACTTTTTTTACAGGGAGATTTCATCAGTTTAATGGGAACATTTCTATATACTACACCGTGTATATCTGAACAGTAGTATACGATAAACTAATGATTGAAAATCGTATGAGCATTTTTTAATATTCATTTTTGAACAATTTAAATAACTTATAAAACAATATTATAAAACTTTGAGAAAATAAAAGAAGGTTTAATTTTAATAAAAATGTTCAGTGTTACCAATAAGTGTGAGTATAACATTAATGAAAAATGTAACACTTCAAGACTGTAAACAATGTGTAAAAAAATGGTCAGAAAAACAGGATGAAGTATGTAGAAATGTGCCGTTTAAACTGATGAAATCTGTCTGTAAAAAATGTGCTCAGAAGGAACAAAACCATACTACTTCAATAGAATTTCGATTTAGGTACATCAAAATTTTCAATAAAATCATACGCTTAATAATTAGAAGTAATTAAGGGAAGTTCTCATTTGAAAAATAGAAGTTTGTATCTTCGCAGACCACACCTTAGGTACCTAAGTAGTACAACAAATATCGGAATTTAAAATATGGTATTTAGGTGTACTTAAAAATTCTAAAAGTTTATAATTTGAATAAAATTTCTAGAATTTCTTAGAATTCTAGACCAAAAGTAAGTAGGGCAAAGTTACACAATTGCAATTTTCCTATTGGGTTTGATGTTGTAAACATCGATTATAGTGGCTTATAATTTTTTGCTTTTAGTTTATCAAACCTCAGCTATTGTGGTTTTATTTTTTAGAAATAAAACATGCAATGAATTACTAAAAAACATCTATAAACAAGACACTATTTTATTTTTTATTTGTTTGGTATTGTTTTTTTTTACAATACTATTGTCTCATTAGGAGGTTACATACAAACAAAACCATTTGACTTATAAATTATAATTTACTTTGAGACTGAAGTTAGTTATTAATTTAACTAATCGCTCTATATCTAATGAATACTATTATGCTATAAAATTGACCCAACTCATTAAATACACCTTTTACAGTGATCTTATACATGTAGGAGTATGACATAATTAAGTAACCCAAATATGTGCAACGTTGGCCATTAGTTGTCAATAATGTCAATATAAAATAGTTGATCCATAATTAACTAAAAAAATATTTAAGTACAGATTTTTACAAAGATTTTTCCAAAATGTATAAAAAAAAGTATAAAAAGTGGGCCAGTGACACCCCATTTTACGGTAGGTACCTATGAGAAAGTAGTTGTCCGATAATTTTCATTCAAATTTTAAACACTTATTTGTTTTTTCTTCAATAAATAAAGATATAAATACATTTATGTTGACAGTTGAAGTTCATATATTATATTTCCAATGTGTGTTGGTATAAAGTCAGTAAACGGAATAACATTATTATTGTTTTTTTTTTTTTTTTTTATCATCCGTACTAATATCAAATATGAGTACCATCCTATTAATTAAACTTATAAGGGTATATAAATACTTACACATAAATAAAATAGACTTTTTAAACATTTTTATTATTTGCCTATTAGGTATTCACCATTATAAGGTAACATATTTCAAAGTTTTGGTTTAAAATATTATAATCTGGATAGTTTCTTCACAATAGTTATATTGTTGAAGAAGTTTTTCAAATGAATACATTAACCTACAATGGATCTTAAATGTTAAATTACTATATCTACCTTTATGATATTGATATACTTGTACACCATTAACTTTACTGGTTTAATGAAATACTCTATTGTGAAGTTATATAATATTAACTTACAGATTTGTTAGTTGTCTTTTTTTTTTGTATAAGATATTTTTATGTTCAGTAATTTGAACACTATAAAATTAATTTGTATCATGATAAAAAAAAAATCCTTTTATTGAATATTATTTTTAAAATAAAACAAAAATAACAAAATATAATATTTCAAATTGAATACACTAAATATTCACATGGGGCGACAGTTGAATTTTTACAGGTTTTGTTTTTTTCCTTGTGTCATCAAATAGCTCACAGTTGTTTGGTCCTCATTTTCCATAAGCATAATAATGCCCTACAGAGTTTCTTAACCTACTTTATCCTTGTTGATAGCAAAATACTCCTCTCAGTTCAAATGCTTTTTCATTTATGATAAGTACAGGTGGGATATTTGATAACTTCATTTTAGGATGAGATGCTGCTTCGGTCCCATTTGTAATTTGAATATTTATAGAAAGTACGGCTATAGGGGTTAATGCTTTTTTTTTACATATTAGATTTGTACACTTTATTATGTCTAAAGCCGATGGAAGATCATTGAATAATTGTTTAATTATATGTCCTATTGTCGAATCACAAACTGCTAAAGTAGTCTCATATTCTAAAAATTCCATACGTGGTTCAAGTTCACTTATCTGAAATCAATATACAAACATTATAAACCATACAATACAAATTGCATACAAAATTATGATATCTATTATGCAATCCATTTTTTGATTACAGTGAATATTTCAATAATATTCATGTTAGTTCACAACATAAAAATGAGATATATTTATAGATTATTATGTAGATGCATACATCAATTTAAACAAAAAAATAAAATAAAATTTTAAAGTAAAAATGTATTTCAATATAAATACCATTATACTAGCTCTATCTGAATAAGTTGATGATGTAATACGTCTTGTCTTACAATTTTTGATATAAATGAAAAATATTCATTATTTTCCAAAAAATTGTTCAATTATTGACTGTATTTGATGCATCACAATAAGCAACCATAATAATGAAGGAAACTGTATCAAACGCACTAGTGTTGCTCATAATTATTTTTCCAATGGTTTGAACAGCACAACTTTTTAGTTCCTTTCCTCGAGATCCATTTTTTAATAATGGCAATGTTAATATATTTTTTGAGTTATTTATGGGCAAATGCCTTAAATGAGGATTAGGAACAAGGTATGATTTTGTAGTTCTTTGTTTTTTTAGATTTACTCTTCCAACTTCCTACTGCTGTGTCTTCTTCATTCAAATTGTCAGTTTGAATATTATTAACATTATCTATTTGTGGTACTAAGTCTTCCCTTTCACTTTGATCATTGATAATATCTGCGTTTTGGACTTCATTTTCAGTTTGATGACTGTTATTATTTGCATGTAATTAAAGGCTGTCCAATAATACATTTTGATTTGAAGACCGTAAAAGATAGGTACCACGCAGTGTGTTTCTAAAAACGTCTCAATATTTGTAGGAAGCAAAATATCTTTAAATGTTAATGTTTTAAGATTTTTGAAGCTGGATTCTACAGCTGCAGAACTTGTAGTTTCATCTCCAAATCCAAAAATAAGTACCATTAACCCAGACCATAAAGGGAGAAGTTTTAAAAATTTAATTATGTGATGGAATCAAAGTTGGCATATACATCGCATTAATTCCTGATAGACCAACCATAGACCTTTTACTCATAGACCGGCCCTCTCCAAGTTTCCGCCGTGTCAACATAGGTGGCGCTTTTCGGTTACTGAGTTACTCTGATACGGTGAAAAAATTATCGTATAGGACCAGCTGTCTATCACGGATATAATATTATCTTGCAGTGCTTTTGAGTTTTTTCGAAGTTAAATGTTCACTTTTAAACTTTTTACACTTTCTTTTGTTTGCTATTTAAGTTTTAAATTTAATTAATATGGGTTTAAAATGCATTGTATGCAGTAACACTGTTAGTGACAAAATTAAACTATTTCGGTTAGTATATAATATATTAGCATTATTATAGTATTATTGGTACTTAAATGAACATAATAACCTATTTTATCCATTTTATAGCTTTCCAACAGATGAAAATCTTAAAAAAAAATGGATGGACATTTGTTCGCTAAATAAATGTCTAGTTTCATATCGCGTTTGTAGTGTACACTTTAAGAATGATGATATTAAAATGAATGGTCTCTTATGTCCAAATTCTTTTCCCGTTTTAAATACATCAACAATTTTGGATGTTTCAAATACCATCAAATTCAAGTAATACTATATCTCATCTTATAATATTTATGATTATTATGTACCTGCATTGTATAACATAAACATTATACATTAACAGTACACCTAGCTGTAAGAGAAAGCTGTATGAACCTGAAAACAATGAGTCAAATGAGGTTTTGGGACAAATTACAATCAGCCCGAATACTCAGTAAGTAATATTTGTTAATTAATAATATAAAATGTTAACTATAATATAGTTAGTTGAGATATTATCTCAAATTTAATTATAAGTAATACAATTAGTTCAAATTAATTTTAGATCTCCAAGTTCAAGTACAACTACAATAGCGAATAATGTAAAGCGTCCAAGATATATTGGTGATTTAAAAGTTGAAGATTTCATTTCCCCTAGAAGAGCTAGTAGAAATTTAACGTTTATAAAGAATAAACACCATGAAACTTTAAACAAATTAAAAATTACTTGAGAGAAAGCTAGAAGACTTCAGAACAGAGTCAAAACTTATGAAGACCTTATAAAAGTTCTAGAAGAAAAAAATCTAATTTCAGAAAATGCATCACACATTTTACAGGTATATAAATGTAAATGTATGTAAAATGCAAATCTGGGATGATGACTTTTAACTTAACTAGTTACAAAAAAAAATAGAATTTAGAAAATAACTTAACTAATAACTAAGTTAAATAATTGTAACTTAACTTAGTTATTTTGTTAAAATGAAAGTTATTTGTAAAAAGTTATTTACAAATTTTCCTATTATGATTTATGTGATATATGAACTGTATATTATTTGCATTGATATTTCGGAGAACCGCGACGGAGGTATATCTACTGACGATTGTATATTATTGTGTTTATTACTATACTATAGACATATTATTATAGTATGTACTAATGATTAATATACTATATAGACATATTGTAATTAGTTGAACAAATTGGTTAACTTGCCCAGCTTTGGTAAAATGTAATATTGCACTTTTGGGTCTTGTGCCCATTATATAATAATAAATAAATAAATAAATAATATAAAATGATAAGTATTTAAAATTATTATTTTAGATAATATGTATTTAATATTATATTTCTTTTTTGTTTACTTAAATATTTATTTATTTATTTTCATAAACTAAATTAATCACTTATTTCAGAATTTTTTTTTTCCTACAGACATTTGGTTCAAAAACGTTAAATGAAATTGTTAAACGAAAAAGTGCCAATAGTAATGGTGCTTATAGTGATGAATTAAGGAAATTTGCTGTTACTCTCCAGTTTTATTCAACAAAAGCATACAATTTTGTTAGGAAACAATTTTCTAATATTTTACTTCACCCTCGAACTTTAACTAAATGGTACAAATCAATTAACGGAGATCCTGGTTTTACCAGTGAATCATTTAACACCCTTAAACTTAAAACCCAAGAAAATTCAATTGTTCTTGCTAATGTTGTAGTTGATGAAATGTCTATTAAAGATAAAATTGAATTTGATGGGACTAAATTTCATGGTTTAGTGGATATGGGCTCAGTTGGAATTGACAATTGTGACAATGATAATATGGATCACGCTACAAATGCTTTAGTATTTATGGCTGTAGGTATTAATTCTAATTGGAAATTGCCATTAGGTTATTTTTTAGTTAAAGGGTTGAATGGCAGTGAGAGAGCAAATTTAATGCAAAAATGTCTAGAACTTCTTAACAAAGCTGGTGTGAAAGTTCATAGTATTACTTTTGATGGAGCCCATAGTAATTTAAGTATGTGTACCAAGTTAGGAGCAAATTTCAATTTAAATAATCCACAGTTCTTCTTTCCACACCCTGTAACCCAGGAAAAAATCTTTGTATTTTATGACCCATGCCACATGATTAAATTAGTCAGAAATACACTGAGCGATAAGAAAATATTAATTAATGCTGCAGGAGAAAAAATTGAATGGGATCATATACATAAATTACATTTAAAAGAAAAAGAAGAAGGATTAAGATCAGCTACAAGGTTAACAAATAAACATATATTTTTTCACAACGAAAAAATGAATGTTAAATTGGCAACACAAGTATTTAGTTCAAGTGTATCTAATGCATTAAAATTCTGTGAGTCATTAGGTATATTTCAAAATACAAATCCTACAGCAGAATTTTGTTTATTCATGAACAATGCATTTGACATTTTGAATTGCCGCACAAAATTTTCAAAATCCCCATACAACCTGGCATTATCTCCGAACACATACATAAAATATAAACAATTCATTGAATTATTTGAAGAGTATGTATTTAGTCTAAAACTAGTTGATGGATTAAATGTTGTGAACTCTCCAAGAAAAACAGGATTTGTAGGTATAGTATGGGCCTTGAAAAATTGGTTAAATATGTATGATTTAATAAAAGAAAAAGATTATGGCCTGGAATATATTCTGTCATACAAAATTTCACAGGACCACTTGGAAACTTTTTTTAGTACGGTTAGATCAAAAGGAGGTTATAACAACAATCCCTCAGCAAAGGAATTTAAAACATCTTATAAAAAACTTTTGGTTCATCACCATGTCAGTGGATCCCAGTATGGTAACTGTCTGCCAGAATCCATGTTGTCCAAATCTTACAATATACCTGACTCAATAGTAAATGAGAAAGAAGAACAATTAGATATTGTACCCCAAAACCAAGATCATGATTATTTTAATGTTTGTATAAAAGCTTCCCCATATGTTGAAAATGTCACAGAGTACATTGCTGGATTTGTTGCAAGAAAGGTTATAAGAAAAATTAACTGTGAAATATGTAAAACGTTTCTAATTGACAATGACAATTCAAATGTGTTAATTCAATTAAAAAATAGAAATGATGCACTTTACAAACCTAGCAAAGATGTTAACTTTATTTGTTGTGTTTCGGAGAGATGGATTTGAAGCTCAAACTTAAAAGAAATATACAAAAAAAATTTCATTAATAAATTGTACATAAAAATTAAATCTGAAGTATACAATTCCATTTTTCAAAGCAGTATACTGGATGAACATGTAAGTAATCAGAATTTATTTACAAACCACAGAGATCAGTTAATAACAATAATAATAACTACTTTTATAACATTAAGACTTCGACATATCGCCAACCAACAACAAAAGGAAACAATGGGAGTTAGAAAAAAATTTACTAAACTAATTTTATTTAGAAATAAATAAGTAGGTAACTAAATAGTCAGTTTTTACTTTTTTGTACTTAATTTTGAATGATTTTATATGTTTGATACTTATTATTTAGTTACAAATATATTATTATGAATTATAATAAATAGTGGTCGTTTATTTTATATGTATAAATTAAATTAAAAAATTAATTATAGGTATTAGGTACCTATATTATATTTTTCAACTATTATATATTTTCATTGCACAATATTTTTTAATACATCGAATGTATGATTTTATGGTAGCACTGATCCATAAATGGACTGCATCACTGCGCTATGTTGGCACGCGACTATCAATGTATTTAGTATAGGATGGGCCGGTCTATGAGTAAAAGGTCTATGGAACCAACTAATCGATTACTGATATCTGACCATACAGTGTTTGATACTAAAACAATTTCTAAAATAATAAGATTATAATTAAATTAAAATTTATGAATTAACTTGAGAAATATTAAATACTTTGATTAAATTGGTTTTGTTTTTATTTGTATTTATAAAAAAATGATAAACATATATATACCTATATCACTAGATATATTATATCACATGAAACTAATACTTAAATTAACCTTAATTAGGTAGGTACCTACCTACTGTTCAGAGAATTACCTAACTACTTACTTTTCATTAAACTAGGACCTAGGTAGTACTGTAGTAGTAAAACTTCCTACCATTGAAAATATCTCATTCAAAAATTATTTTTTTTACGATATGGAATTAAAGAGACTAATATAATTATAATCTACAATATGTATTTATATTATTACAATTTTAAATAAATATGTAGCCATGTAGGTACTTACTTTTTCCGCCATTGTTTTCTTCAAGTACTGCACTTTTATAGTAGAGTACTGCGTTTATAATCCTTAGTTTCCACCAAAGGTTTCCTCCCAACCATGATTTTGTATTGTAATAAGCAAATTAAAAATATATTTTAGATATTAAAAAAATAAAATATAAAGTACGAAAAACTGTTTAGTCTCACTCAACTGTAAGTATAACACTACACGATGGTCGACTGTTAACTGCAGAATCGTAGCTAATGATAGGTACCTAATATTTTAAACCAAATTTTTATACCTATTTTTAAACAATTGATTGTGCCTTTATAATATTATTCCACATGAAAACTATTTTAAGAAAAGGCGGTACAGTAGAGTTAAGAGATAAGAGACGGCCGCCTGTGTCGGCTGGCGCGTGTGTAACAGTCAGTAGGCGGGAAAAAAATTGTTGGGTAATCTATTCTAAATTTAAAACATACATAATAATATTCAAACTCTTATAATATTTATAATACTTATAATAAATTGTCTTAATTATTATAGTAAATATTATTAAATAATGGAAGAATTAAGGTATATTCAAAGTTTATTTCAAAATATTTTAAAATAATTGTTGTATATGGGGCAACACTGTTGCTGTCATAACCTTTATTAGCAGACATAGTCAGTAAGTTAGTTATCGTGTGATGTACACATGGTTTAAAGAAGTAATATGTAAGTTGTTGTAAGATTGTAATAATGTAACTAATGTATACAGAATAAACGTAATATGAATAAAGTGCAAAAGTATTAAGTAAATTATTTAAAACATAAAGTATAAACATAACAATCTCTTATATTATAAAACACGGTTAGTCTCCGTTTTTCTACACTAGGATCAGGGACGGACGACTTTCGTGTCGTTTTTCCGGCCCGGCCAATCGCAACGTTCACATTCGGCCGAGGGCAACAACCGCGTTATCACTTCTTTTCTTATCATTTTTGAAAATTTACTCTTTTTTTCACGATTTTGACCGTTTTCGCTCATATTTATATTTGTTTCGCGTAGCTCGCGATCTCTCGAAGCCGCCGGTGCTTTACTTTTTTGCCGATTTTTTTCGTTTTCTCCGACAGTTTCGTCTTTTCGCACGCCGTTCGTGCCCGACTGTGTAGTTGACGTCTTTCTAAAGCCGTATGTATACGCTTTTCTTACGAAATCGGTCGGTTCGCGTTTAGAAATGAGGTCGGCATGTATATACGTGTACAATAGTACAATTTTTGCCTACGATTTAATAACTATTAACGGAAAACGCTTTACACACGAACCGTTAAATATATATATGGGTGATATGTGTATTACAAGCGAATTATATACGATTACATCAGTGGCGGTTCTGACATAAAATTGTTGAGGAGGCAACAATATTGTACCCTTCTAGACATGTAAGCGCAAATCCCCCAATTCTCAAAACTCATTAATTAAAAACAACTTATGGAAAAAACTAACAAAGAAAACTGATTACTCTAATAGTACTTTACTACTTTATTTGTCGCTCACACTCACTGTAGTACTGTACCTATCACACAGAAAATAAAATAATACAATTTAAATCATATAAAAAATTGTTATTACTAATTATACCATTGCTATTGATAATAACTTATTAGTGATAACGTGCAATATTATGAACTAAAGAATAATAATAATTAGTTGTACAATAATATGCTGAATGCCTGAATGCCTAAATTCTAGTTGTTCACAAACCTAGAGAATGATTAATCGTCAACCACTGAGGCGCTGCAAGTCACAGCCTGTGACGTTTGCCGACGGAGGCTACGGTTATGTACAGTCTCCACAGAGAATTGCGCATGCGCTATTCCCATATTTTATGTGCATCATTTGTGTACACATGTAACGTATCGATAACGGCGGCGGCAGTTGCCTCCTGAGAAAGTGACGCATGGAGGGGCAGCCGTACTATGTAGACATGTAGTAATACAGTATATCAGTAGGTATAATAATAATATTAATATTATATTCGCGATTCGCCAGTTGCGCGCGGGAACTGATCACTGGCCAGTCTCTTACTTATTACTTATGAGCATCACGGTCTTGTGTAAAGAACGGGCATGGTACACTCCATAGTCCGTGACAGTACCCAATCCCCGGCCGTTTGCCCTCTCTCCCGAGGACGAGTAACGATGGTGGGTAACCTGTCCGGTCGTTGCGCCTGTTCCTGATCGAAAAAAATATGGGAGCTAATTTGGTGTCCCAGGTGTTGTGGTTGCCATTCATGAGCAGCGCGCGTAGACCTTTTTTTATTTCCTGGTTCCGGCGTTCGACTGGGTTGGCCCTCGGGTGATATACCGGAGTTGTCGAACCCTCGGCTCACCACCGTTCGATCGCTTTACGCATGTCGTTTGCTACGATCTGTGGGCCGTTGTCGCTTAAGCACACACGGGGGTATCCGAAACGTGAAAAGAATTCGCGTTCGAGCGTTTTGGTTATTGTTTTTGTAGTGGCTGTTCCGAGGGGGTATGCCTCGGTCCATCTACTAAACAGGTCCGTGGTGACCAGTAAATATCGTTTTCCCCTACTCGTGCGCGGGTAGGGGCCCATGAGGTCTATGGTAATCACTTCCCAAGGGTGTCGGGGTATTCTGGTGGTCGCGGGGTCGTCTGCGCGCGTGTTTAGTGGTTTGGTACACGCGCATATGTGACACGACTTGACGTACAGTCGGATGTCGTTTTTTTGGCCTTTCCAAAAAAATCGCTGTTTTATCGCTCTGTACGTTTCTTTCCACCCCGGGTGGTTTGCGAGTACGTGATCGTGGTATGTCCAGATCACGTTCTGTGTTTTATTGTTTGGTATGACTACGGGTGTGTGTTCACCCAAATTTATCCGCAGAAGACCATCGGTAAAAATGTATTGATTTTTTTTATCCGTAGTATTTCCGGTATCGTGCGCTGGGTCGTCCGTTGTCATGTTGTCCGCTATGTCTCGTGTGTTGGGGTCATTGGCCTGCTACGTCACGAGCATAGTGTGTGTGATTGTGGGACCACTGGTAGTGTCAGCCGGGTCGGTTGTGGCGAACAAATTGTCGGCCGGTGAGCTAGTAGGGGTGACGTGTGGTGAGGTGGGTACTCCTACTAGCCATTCCTCGAGGTGTTCCTCGTCTACCGGGGGCCCAGTGGTTATGTTGCGGGAGAGCATGTCCGGCGCCTCGTTTTGTACGCCGGGCACATGCGTGGTTTTGTAGTCCAGGTTAGCCAGCTGTAGTGCCCACCTGGTTAACTTGGAATTTGTATTTTTGGCTCTGTGGAGCCATGTGAGTGCTGAGTAGTCTGTATATAGGTCAAAACGGCGGGCTTCTAGGTATGGTCTAAACTTGTCGGTTGCCCAGATTATCGCAAGGCACTCGCGTTCTACCGCGGCGTACCTTGTTTGCGTATCACTTAACTTTTTGCTTGCGTAGGCGATTATCCGCCTTTTGTCCGGGCTGTCACCCCGTTGGGAAAGGACTGCACCAGCTCCTATCTCGCTAGCATCGGTTTGTACGAAAATGTTTAGATAAATCTGTGTTCAACTCTAATGAAATGAGACAACATATATATCATCAAGATCCTTTTGATAATCACCGAAGCCAACTAATGAAACTAATTATTGAACTTTATGTATCTCTAAGGCTGAATCACATCGCTAAATTGCACTCAATTGCAACGACAGGCAAGAATGTTCGACGTAATTTAACCAAAGTTATTTTATTTAAAAATCAGTAATTATTTTAGAATCTAGATCAGTGGTTCTTAACCTTTTTCGAATGACGGAACACTTAACATTTTACAAGATTTTCGCGGAACACAACCGTAAAATAAAATAGTAGTACATACATTTTTAATTTTTTAATATATTAAACAATGAATGTATAGCAAAAAATTGTTTGCATGCCATACATGTTAGTGTTAGTCACTAAAAAATAATAAAATAATAAAGAGTTAAAAAAAATTTAAAAATTTGAAATCGAATACTTTGTATGAGATATTTGTGCCTGATGATTTTTACAGATATTTTCAATATCTGGCCGTATGTACGATATTGCTACTCTCATTTCCTCTTCAATATTTGTCAGCCTTTCTCGTTTCTTTGTTTTGATATTCGTCAGTGTTGAAAATCCAAGCTCACATAAGTATGAGGTTGAAAATTGTAATAATATTGAAATTGCTTTTTCAGAAATTTTTTTAAATTCGGTTTGAACTGAAATCCAAAATTCTTCTACTGTTATTTCGGAAAATTTTATTTTTAGAGTTCGATCTGTTGTTAGCGTTATGAATTCTTCCTCTTCTTCTAACGTAAATTCATAACTTGACGTGTTGATGGTAGAAAATGGATTTCGTATCCAATCATACTTTTCAATATTCAATTCAGGAAAGTATTTCGTGATTTTTTCTTCTAATAATGCTAAATGTTCTGTTATAATAGGAATTATTTCATTATTATTTTTAATTGAAGGAAACATGTCTACCGTATTTTTTTGAATTATACGCGTTCTCCAAAAAGATATTTTTTTTTTTAAATGTTAACAGTTTATCCGTGGATGTAAGAATATTTTCGTTTTTACCTTGCATACCAGCATTTACGCTATTTAAATAATTAAAAATATCAGCTAAATATGCCATTTTAACACACCAAATATCGTCTGTAGGAAAAGATATAAAAACAGTGTTACCTTCGTTTTGAAAAAACATTAACAATTCATTCTTAAGTTCCCGAATTCGATTTAGAACTTTACCTCGCGATAACCATCTTACTTCACAATGTAAAAGTAAACATACGTGCTGAGCTTCCATTGATTCACACAGTTTTTTAAATAGGCGTGATTGTAATGGACGCGATTTTATGTAGTTAACCATGCTTACAATTTTATCCAATACAGACTTTAATGTAATAGGTAATGTTTTCGAAATAAGTGATTCTCGGTGTAAAAAACAACGTGTAGATATGATATTAGGATTTTTTTCTTCGCTAATGTTGTAAATCCTTTAATAGAACCAACCATTGAAGGAGCTCCATCGGTGCAGATTCCTACACATTGGTCCCATGTTATGTTAAATTTATCTAAATATGACGAAATTGAATCAAAAACATTCTGTCCTGTTGTACGTTCAGTAAGTTGTTTACAGCATAAAAATTGATTCACTATTTTATTTTCATCAATGAAACGAACAAATCTTAGTACGTGAGCTATACCACTGATATCAGTAGACTCGTCAATTTGCAAAGCGAAATATAGTTTATTAGTAGTAAGCTTGTTAGTGACAGTTTTCTCAATATCATCTAACATGTGTATAATTCTGTTTTTTATTGTATCGTCTGAATGCGGAATTTTCATAATTTCTTTTTTTGCATCATCGCCAAACATAATTTGAACTATTTCTGAACATGCCGGTAAAATCAAACTCTCTGCTATGGTGTGTGGTTTTAACTGTTTTGCAATTATTTCGGCAACTTTATAAGATGCGATTTGTGCTTTATCAGATATTGTTACAATTTTTTTTAAATGTTTTCTTTGATTCATTTGATTATTCAACAACCTTTCAAAATAATTTTTTTCTTTAGACTGGAGATTGGCGTGCTTAGATGAAAAATGCCGTTTTAATTTCGCTGGTGCCATTGCGCTATTAGACAACTTTTCCCCACAAACCACAGAAAGGGGAATTTGACAATCATTTTCGTCAACATAAGTGAACCCAAAATTTAAATAATCGTTGCAATATTGTCTATTGACCTTTTTTATTTTATTCTCATGATTGAAAGTATCATCATTGACATTGCTTGTATTTGTACTTGCATTATCAGTACCAGAATCATGTTTCCGTTTAAGAAATTTGTCCATTTTGTTATTAAAATGGTCGTTACAAATTAAATTAATTAACTAAATAAATTTCAAATTGTACTTACTTAAAAAAATAACAGAATCCTTATTTATGAAGTTGTACACACGTCTAACGTTGATAACCGTGGGCAACGTACTAATACTAATGTATTTTATAACTTTTATTAGTGCAGAAAATAAAATTGTCAATATCTATACGTATGTTATCGCAGTATGGTGGAGATTATCGTATAATATAATAATAATAATGTATATTAATATATTATATAGTATACTGACACATTATATTATTCGAAAGTTAACGATAACGTTTTTGTGTACAAAAATAAACCAACAAAACCTAAAATGATTCTATTTTGAAAGAATTTAGAATTTTTTTTTTCACTGATTTTAAAATTTTGGCGGAACACTTATACGAAGTCCACGGAACACCTGTGTTCCGCGGAACACCGGTTAAGAACCACTGATCTAGATTATTATTAATTCTATTATTATATTATTATTATTATTATTATATGTTATATTATAATGTACCTATATTGTGCAGGTCATACCGGTTTGTATAATGTATTAATGTGTATGTATTAAGTATTAACTGATTTTATATTACATGTTCATTATTCATAATGTAATTAACCAAACTAAGATAATATAAAGAAAAGATAATTATGCATTTTTACTAATTAAATAAGTTTATTTATTTACAATGCAACTATTCATATTTCTAAATCATAATCAACGTTGTTTTAAAATGTAATAAAAACAAAAATACACCATTGTATACATCGTAGTTTAAAGTTTTAGAAAAATATAAATTTATATAAGTCGTTCAAAAATATATAAGTAAAATACTAAAATACTAAATGTTTAATGTATTAGATACTAGATAGTAGATAATGGAATAACTGATAAAGCCAAAATAAAAATGCACGCATGCGCAGTAGCTACATGCCCTCTTCATATGTTGGCTACATACTCGTTACACGTGAGGTATAGTCGTTGCTCTATCCATTGTATATGATCTAAGGGTCGTTCTCGATAAGCTCCGTGTTCGTGATACCGCAGCGTTAATATGACGGCGGCGATAGAACGATTGAAATAACAATAGACGACGGCGGCGGAAAGTTTGTTGCACGCTCGGTCCGTGTCGGAAAAGAACGGTGGTACAATTACGGCGGCGGTAGAGTTACGGCAGCGGTAGAATTACGGCGATGGTAAAGTGTGATCGGCACGTTCTAACCTACCCACGGAGGGTGGCCGAGAGCGTGGTGCGCGGAAAGGAGAAAGAAAAAGCGAATAGATGACGGCGGCGGCAGTTACTCTGCGGGCTCTGACCCGTATTTGCGCGGCGAATAGCCCTAGCAGCCTAGGCCGAATATTTCCGGTGGTTCTAGCCCTATATTAGGCAGTCACTGCTGGAGCTACCCAAGACAGTTTGTAGTGTCGGCCGGGCTCCCTTATATGTAGTTTGCCGGTCGTGCAGAATCGGTATGGTTTTGCGTGGCCGCCTATGTGTTCGGTATTGGTGCGCAGTCTTCACTAGGGGAAGCGCGCACTCTATTGACACTGATGAGCGGCTGTTGTATTGTGTCGTGTTTCGGTTAGGTGGCGCGTCATGTATATTTCGTGTTCGTTACACATATTTCATTTTTTATGTATTATAATATACTATGTTTTTACGTAGGTAAACATGTTTTTTTCGATTTTCATACGATTTACATATATAATTTTACAAATTAAACTTAAGTTATAATACCTATATATTTCACTTGTGTATGTATAGTTAACTTTTTTCTACCAAATTTCGTTGTTATGTATTATACACAGATTTCTTTACGTTGATAAACATTTTTTTCAATTTACGATCGTTTTTCTTTACAATTACATATAATTCAATAAATACGTAGGTACACTCTGTGTTACCTACATATTACCTGTATATATAATGTTTATGTGTTTATATAGTAGATTTTGTTCAGAACATATTCAGACCGTTACCACCTCAACAGTAGAAAAAACAAAAAAACAACAAATATCCTGAATAGTTTTAGGTTAGCCCCATGTAATTCGTTGTAGTGTTGTAAAGTGTTTAAATGTCTTTTATTTATAAACCATTATCCTTATAATTATACAATTATGTATGTATCAGTAAGTATATTACCAAGATGGTTTTTGCATACTACCTAAACATCATTGTCCATTGTACATTAATATTTCATTGGATAATTACTAATAACGATTACTTTTTAAATGATTATTGGATACTGTAAAATATGATTAGTAACGATAAAAACATTCCTTTATAGCTTATAAAATTGTATATTTTTTAATTGAGTTTCAGTATGAATAGCGGATTTCAATGCATATGTTACAAAATTAATTTGATGACAAGAATAAATCATTTATCCATTCCAGCTGTCTATATTTACTGTTAAAGCATTATGATCTATGACAAGAAATCATCGTTGAATCTGTTATTAAACACAATACTATTGTATCCTTTTCACATTTTAGATTTAATACATAAGATTATAATTATGAACCAAATTTGTATTGTTCAAGGCAACACATTTCCATGTGTTGTTACCTAAGTTGAATAAAATGTTATTATTAAAGCATATTATGACGTATAATGATAATTACTAGGGCTCGGATTTATATGTATTTATATAACCAAAGTAGGTATTCATACAACAAAAATATGTGCTAAAGAATTCAAAACATATATTATCAAAAAAAAATATTAATAATTAATAATGTAATAAAATGTAATAAAAAATGTATATTTATATAATTATATTGATTACAATTAATAACATTCATTTTTAAATTTTCAAATCCAAAAGATTGACAAAATTGTCATAAAATGTTAATAATAATTAATAATAAAATAAATTGTAATAAAAATATGTATATTTATCTAGTTATCTAATTATTTTTATTACAATTTATTAGTAATAACATGCACTTTTAAATTTTTGAATTCAAAAGATTGTCTATATAATATATAGTGATGATAACCTTTCAGTCATTCTTAACTCTGAAGAAAAGACATTAAAACAGTATAATTGTCTAAATATGTGAGAAAAAATTGAATAATAATATAATAATAATAATAATGTGTAAAAATATGTAAATTCAAATATAGCTCGTTTAATCAAAAATCTTGTTATACAAATTTATCACTTGCCGTAATTAATAAATTATATAAATCCGAGCCCTAGTAATTACTAATTAAAGTACAATAACTTTTGAATACAAATTTACTATGTAAATTCACTATGTGAGACCAGACCAGTGTTGTAGAAAGGAATTTAATATTGAGGGAGGGGTTTCATAATAATTTAATTTTACATGTTAAATAAATAAATACATTTATATACTTTATTTATATATTTGAAAAAGTGTTACTTGTCAGTACGGACATGGTTATTTTTTTAGAATAAATAAATTATGAAATTAACTTAGATTATGTTTGTTTGAAAATATGAATTAATTATCATAGTGGCATAATTGATCTACACTTAATATATTTGACATTATTGTATCGATTTGTAATAATTAATAATCATAACTTTATTTAATATGTGTATGCTTAAATTATTTTAATTGTAATAACTATGTCTACTATTGTCACAGTATTCACAAGTTCAATTGCGAATTAAAATAGGAGTGTATAATTTTTGAATATAATATATTTTTGTAATTTTAAAAATTAAAACCTATCTATTTTAAACTTTTCAGGTGTTGTGATCCTGCTTTTTCCGAACCATTTCTGCACAGCAGCATATTGCCTTATTTACAGCAGCATCACATCAACTCTCATAATAGTTGTAGTTAGTATTAGTTGTAGTTCTAGGTTTAGCTGTAGTTTAAAAAAATAGTTGTTTTAGGTTTATGTGTAGTTAAAAAAATAAATAAATAGTAGTTTAGTTTTAGGTGTAGTTAAAAAAAAAGAAAAATAACCCCAAAAAAAGTAGTTTTAGTTGTAGTTTTAATTAAAAAAAAAAAATAGTAGTGTAGTTTTAGCTGTAGTTAAAAAAAAAACCCAAAAAAGTAGTTTTAGTGGTAGTTGTAGTAATTGTAGTTGTAGTTAACAAAAAAAAAGTAGTTTTAAGTATAGTTGTAGTAACTCTAGTTATAATTTTAGTTGTCGAAGAGGGTAAACTCAGACAGCTTAAAGTGCCGACGAATTGTTGTTAATTCTGACACAAAATAGTCGAAGAGGGTAAACTCAGACTACAAAAAGTGCCTACGAATTGTTGTTAATTCACACACGAAATAGTCGTAGAGGGTAAACTCAGACAGCAAAAAGTCGAAGAGGTATTACTGAGGCAGATAAAAGTGTGAACGAATTTGTAATTCAGACACAGAAAAAAATTATTGATAAGCTTTAAAATGAGTTTAAACAAAAAATTGGATGAGGTAGCTCACTATATTAAGAATCAATATACAAATTTAAATTTTGGAAATGTCTCAGTTTCTGACAGTTGTGTAACTAATATTTGCAATATCATCTTTAATAAAGAAAATGATAATGGTTTAAAAAAATCAATTACAAATGCTATCAATAGAAACACTTCATCTCTTCGTAAACGTATTACAAGTATGAACAATACTGATTTATGTAATGTGTCAGAAATGAATAGTACAATAATAAAATGTATTGAAAATGTATTGAAAATTGTAACTATACGTCTACCCACTGTGCAAAAAATTATTGTAATATTTATGTTTTATAAACGTTTGAAGTTTACTTAAAACGTTAAAATTTATCGTAAAAATTATGTAAATTTAACATTAAATGAACTGCATATGTCCTCGAAAATTTACTTGGTAATTATGTTATATTTACATAAATATAACAAAATAGTAAACGTCAATTTTATGTAAAAATTATGTTTTATCGAAACAGAAAAAAACATTAATAAAACTGGTTATTTATGTTCCAAAAAAGTTTTAAAATACTTAAAAATAACATAAATATTATATACTTATTTAACATCAATAAGATATATCGGATGTATCTCATATCATACATTATACCATTTATAAATGACTATAGTCATATCAGATATAGATGATAAATCACACTAATTAAATATCTATATTATATCAGTGAACATCAATGAAATTCTTCAGTATGATATCATTTATAAAATATACCTTTGATGTGTCTTGACTCTCGAATACTTACCTAATAATATTATTCGTAAGTCCTATCAAATAAAATAGATAGGTACTTAAAATGCAGATTAACAAAAAACAGAGAACAAATTAGACTTATTACTAAGCATTTATTTTGATATTAAATCAAAACATATACAGTACATTATATTCAATAAAAATTGAACAAAACATTTTTTGGTATAAGATATAGTAACTAGTAGGTAGTTGAAGTTCCACAGTACTTACAATATTTCATGACATAATGATAATATAATTGCCTTACTATTTGATAATTTAATAAAAAAACATTTACATTTTAGATCACTCTCGCATATTGAATACAAATTACATAAAACATTAGTATCAACTACAAAAATTCCAACTACAAATGATGAAAAAGGTTTATTACAGAATTCTGAAACATTCAGAAATTTTTTTACCATTAATTGTAATGGTTTGTCCTTAGGTTTTATAATATACTGTATAGTAATTAATGAATCATCTTGGCACAAAAAATAATGGTCTTTTTCTTTCGTAACATCTATGGTGGTCTTAGTACATTCAAAAATACATTTTTGATAAAGTTTATCTGAGATGGCTAAAAATAGAAGGCTTTGATGGTAAATTTCTTTGTATAAAATGGGAGAAGGTGAAATTAATTGCAAATTTTTATTGATTAACTGTTGTTTTTGATTTATTCGATTGTAAACTTCTTGCAGAGGGTATTTTATACATTTAACAGATTTTTTTATATATTGTAAGTAGTTTTCGTACCTAAATGAACTAAAGTTATCAAGTGGCCCATGCAATAATGTAAAGAAGGGTAAATGAATTAAACTATGGACATTATAACTTATATAATGATGGCCATATAATAAGCCATAGCTTTTCACAAACTGTACTAATAATTCTGACGCTTTAGAATTATATTTATAACAAGTATTTGGTGAAACTAAAATTCTAGTTGCAAATACCAATAACAAAAAATGTTTGTAAAGTTCAGGATTTAATTTACCTTTTAAAACAATTGCTCCTGAATATAAAACAAAACTACGCAATTCAGTAGCCTTCCAGTACTCTATATCATCTATTGGCCGTGGTAATCGACAAAACTCTGATTTCACATATGGCCTTAACATTTTTAAATCATTATTTATTCCTTCTTTGCTTTCATCTGTTCATCTTATATCCCTTTTCCCTTTAACCCAAAATTCTATTAAACGTTTAGTGACCCCAAGACACACAATGCTTGTAGTCTAAGCAAACGACATTAGTTATATTAATAGGTAATTTAAGCAAGGGGGAATCACCTTTTTGATATTCTTCATTTGATTGATTTCTAAAAGTTTCATTTGTGCTTAGTGGAGCATTTGTTCCAATTAAAGCAACTCGGCGTTCTATATAATCTCCTTCGTCAATGCAAGAAGTACACCCAAAATAAGTATTAAAATGTTTAACGTTAAGTAAAAAGCTCTTTGTAGGGGCGTCACAAACTATATTAGAAATATTAACACTTATTAATGTTCCATTTACATTTAAGCCATTTCTTAATACTTCTAAGGTATCGACAATAAACGGGTGTAAAAACTCTTCAATCGAATGTGGTTTTTTAAATCCATGAAATATACCAATGGGAAGTACATTATTGGGTAATTCTTTAAAATTTAAAATAGAAACCAATATGGGCCATAGTTGACTTTTACTACTTTTAGCTAATGGTAGACCGTCAATGTTAATTCCTATATTTATTATATTATCAGTTGTATATTTATTAAAATTATTTATTTCTAAAAGTGATGATAACATATTTCTTAATCCTAAATGTATATAAGTGCCATTTGATATATTGATAATTTCTTTAGTTTTAGGAGTGTGCATTAAAGTTCTGACATCTTTAGGAACTGTCATGCCTACACTTTGCAATATAGTTAAAAGTGAGTTAGCAGCATTATGAGAAATTTTAAAATTAAGTATCCAATTGCGAAGTTTGTCACAAATACCATTATTATTATCAATTAAAATTTCATCTAAATGTGGCAATAAAAGATTAGATACGATTAAATTTGGTATTTCGGGAAGATGAAGAATTGCGTTCTCAATATGATTATTGATATTTTCAACACTACTGTTATAATCACAATTAAGAACAGCAGCATTTATAGATGGCAATATTGTTTCGGTTGTATCAATGGAATTTATATTTACTACAGATGGTATTGACAATTCTTCTGAAATGTCTGGAAGATATTGACCCTAATTTCTGGCATTTGGTCTGGAACCCCACAAAAACATATTAAGGAAATATAAATGTATACACATTTTAAGGGGTTTTAGTATTTAATAGACACATAATATAATATATTTTTTGTATTTCTATTAATTTAATTTTTATAAAACAATTTAAATATTGAATTACATTTAAAATTATATGTATACAAGTGTTCATTTTTCACTATAACATTGTCAAATTACTTTTGTTTAACTAAAATCTAATTGAAGAAAATTTACTGTCCCAATTAAAATTTAAAAGAAAAAAAATCTTTATATTACTTTTGAAAATGCTGAAAAATTAATAAAACTTATTTATTAAGAGTTCTATTTAGGGTACTTTTAAATCTGGTATTCGCAGTTCTAAGTCTTTCAGTTATTTCTTTTTCAAATTGTGAATCATTAAATGGTGTTGAAGAACATTGTTGGATAATCTCTAAAAATTAAGAAAAATATGGATTTATAAATAATTAATTAATTAATCTTAAATACACAATTATGTTTGGCAATTAATTATGGAAGGTATATTGCTCGCATATGTGCAAAGATCATAAAACATTTTTAATTTATTATAATTACTTTTCACTATTTTGATAAGTTCGGTTTCTTTTAATTTAGTCATATCCTTCACCCATCCACGTCCAGTCCATGAAATATGTACACAGTATTCATCAGTAAACAATTTGCTCATGACTCTTTTTATATGATTTGCAGCACATATACCGCCTATGCTTTTTATAAACGATTCCTATAAACGATAACTCTAACAGTTATAATATTCTATTGATTTGGTATTAAAAGATTTTATATTACCAGTTTAAGAACAAACTCAGTTTCATTTTTTATAAGATTTTCAATTGATAATAACTCATCTGCATTTTTAAGAGGAAAGTAACTCAAAAAAGTTGGATCAATGCTTTGAGAAGTATTTTTTAAATTGGCTTCTATTACTTCAAATTTTGCAAATATGCGATTCAACATCAAATTTGTAGCAGTTTGACCTTGTAAGATAGTATTGCTTAATGTATCTAATTTAGCTTCATAAAACCCTAATTCAATAATAATAATAGGTACAAACAGAAATATTAAAATTATTCTTTTTTACATAATATTTGATTTAAAGTTTAATAATGTTACCATAAGTATTGGTGTTTGGAGTGGTATATAATTGCTGTATATTCTGTGCACTTGTATACTGTATAAATTTAAGTATAATACATAGATATTTAAATAATAGCAACATGTTTTAATTGTTTAATAGACCATTTGTATGAAATATATAAAATTAACAAATATTTAACTTTAATGTATTAAGTTAGGGGGTACTCTTAAATTAGAAAATTTTAAAAATTACTTGTTCATCTTGAGGTGGTTGGTAGACTGAACTTGACTGATCATAATATGGTAATTGGTCCACTGAAGATTTCTTACTCATTTGATCCGATAATAATGATGGTAATGTTTTATTTGGTTGCATTGTACATTGTTTTAGTAAGGGTGAACTATTCACTGGTTGTAGTTCTGTATACTGTACATCCTTTTCATAGCTGGGTAAATTTAATGCAGAAGTAGATGCAGGTGTTATACAATACCCTGAATGATCTGAATACAATAATTTCAAACAGGTTAGTATTATACATATTACAACCCATAGTTTTCTAAGCTTTTAGGTACCTTACTACAATAATTAGGATAGATTGAGAATATTAATTACCTTCATCAGTGCTACCATCTGACAAATCAAATATTGAACGCTTACGTTTGGTCATCAATTGAACCTCTTCATTTTCTGATTCCTTTTCAACTCTTGTATGCCATGCTTTTTTAAAATTATCTAAGTTATTGGTAAATTTAAATCAGAAAAAATTACAACGAAACAAAATAATTATTAATTTAATTTAATTTTTAAAATAAGTTTTTACATTTTTTTAAATATAACATACAGGTTATTTACTATGAATATTTATGATACCATAACCAATAACCATAACTAAATTATGACTACATAATTAAAATAATAATAAATATCAACTATTAAATAGATTTTATTTTACATACCATATGTTTTATTGCCACCAACTATTTTAACACCATACTCAAACCAAGTTGGTTCTGGATCTAGGGCGTCATGAATGTCAGTACTGGTTACTCGACCAAGTGGCCATTTACAAAACTGTACACTACTATTTTCTAGATTATCTGTGTCATTTTGAACTAACCACTTTGTCGGTACTACGCTGTAATCCTTCGAATCCACAAATACCACAATAACCCAACTAACTTTAATCTAAAATGGAAAAACATACTACATTTATTTTTTAGTTGAGTATCGGCTACCTAAGTTATTATATTAGTTAAAATATCGGATGACAGAGCATGGCCAGAAAGTGCACATTTTAACTTTAATAATAGTTTACTAATGGGCAATGGCCTTTGCTACCGATGTTTTTTTGTGATTAATAATAAAAAAAAAAATAGTTAGGTATAATATAATACTAAGTAGGTATTGATGTATACAATTATGAATCTTACCTTTCTAGTTGTCATGATAAACTTAAGTCTTAACTCTTAATACGATCTAAAAAACGACACGATGCTGCCCAGATGGATACGTGATGTATCTACTGCTGTATTTTCGTACTTTGCAAGTAAAGAATGAGAATCACGCGAAATTCGAATATTATTCTTCCACAATCACTAGACACAATTACTGTAATACTGTTATATCTGCTGCAATAGCAGAGACATGCAGTTAAATAATAAACGGACGACTGACGAGTGAGTGACGACGGTTATCGGTGTTTCTGGATATTGACGATAATTAATGATAATAAAACTATTTTCAGCCGCTATTTATAAATTTAAAATAAAACCCATACATATAGCGTATACAGCAGAGTAAATATAATAATTTAGTTTATTTTTGGATTGCTATCAACATCAAAAGAACATAATATTGATATCATATATTATATTATAAATGGGTGGCGTTTTTATTATTATCAAATATTCGTTTAACGTTTTATCACTATGTTTAATTGATGTATCTATAATTAGAGATAAATACATTTCTCAAATGTTTATTTCGTGTTATAAATATTTATAAACATAAATAAAACGTTTATAACAAATATATTATGTAAAGTTAACATAGTACAATATATATTTAAGACTTAAAATAAACATTTTTAGAATGTTTAAAAACTTCAATTGCACAGTGGGTAGTGATTTCTTAAATTTCAATGTCACAATTCTAAATGCCATATGTAAACACATTAAAGTAGCTGCAAATCGTGTTAACCGTACTAAATTGTATAGGAAATGTAAAAAACACTTCGATGTGTCTTTGTGTAATCCGTCGGATGACACAAACAATATGAATTCAAATAGTGTTTATTTTAATGAAAATTCTAGTATTGAAAATTGCACTTCATATTCTGATCACACAGAGCCTGAACTAGTGCATAAAGACCACGTTTCACTTGAATACACAAGTGTATCGCCCCAAAGTGACGATGATAGTTGGATGATAGGAAATCCACTCATACCTTGTAGTACTCCAGTTCTACCAGAAAGCATAAGGGTTGAATCTGATTTTGTTACACCGAGTAAATTGGAATTAAGAAAAAATGCTGGACTTGACTTAGCCTATTTTAAGAAAACCCCGACCAAGTCTGGTGTTGTGCTGCCTTTGAAAACAATAAACTGTTTTCCAAAACAATACGATAGCTATGAATGGGAGTTTTTTGAAGGAACTTTCACATGTTCACGTGTAGAGTGGTCTCATATCGCACTACCAGTACAATAAGGCCACATTTCAAAAATAGCAATTGTTCAGGAAATAAAATTCAATATTCATAGTTAAATGATAATTATTCTATGGGTACATATTTAGTATTATTATTATTATTCAGTACTGTATTTGGCAGAAAATATTGTTGTGATAATGAAAGTAGGATTCATATTTTAACAAATAATAAATGTCACTCTAGTTATTTAATTTTAAAAACCAAAAGTAAATATTTTAGTCATTGTGGCCTTATTGCATTACTTATTTTTTCATTTCATATAACTTTGGCCATAAATACCATTAATAATAATTTTTTTCAATTCAAAATAATAATATTAATAACCATCTGAAAGTTAAAAAAATCAATGTTTTTTATTTTTTAATATCATGTTTTTACTTTTCTATAACTACTTAACTATACAAAAGGTAAAAGGAAAAATCAAATAGCAAATTCTTTATTTATATTCTATAAGTATTAGTATTGTATCACAAGTTAAGACTTCTCTTAAGCCTTTCTTTAGTTTGAATAATAATATTATAATAATCAAGAAGAAAAACTTGAATTATCAAACTTAATTGCAGTCTTTTCAGTTTATAATAAAACATAATCAAGTAATTGAAACGGTGCGTCCGATTGGACGACCCGCGTCGTAAATAAAGAACAACGATTGTACTTTTGGTAATCAAGTCTCTCTATTGCTATTTAAATTAATTATTATATTCACAATATTGGGATGAGTAAAGCGTCGATGTGTGCCGACCAGACTTAACTAAGTGGTTCGGCACAATCGGTGATGCTTGGGTACTGGTCGGGCAACTGCCGGACCCTATCTTTATAACGGACTATGGTTTATAATATATTTACAATAAAAGGTGGTTGGCCGGGGAGACGGCCGTCGTCGGTGCAAACTTAGTTAAGCGGCACCCCGACGACGAACCAGACTAGGATCGGACAACTTAAATAAGTGCCGAGGTAAGGTGTATGTTGGCCCTGAAAAGGGCCTTTTGATGTTGCAGCGCCGTGAGTTGTCGGCTTATCCAATGGTTCTGCAGACCCGGGTGTATGAACGGCGGTTGCTGATTGGCCGGCGTTGTCACTGCACGAATCTGTTGACACAGGTCTTATGCCGTGGAGCGGCAGCCACGTGGGTCGACTGGCACTGACAGTGTTGGAGGCGTTGGTCGGCGGTTTATACCGGTCTCACGTCCAGGAGCGGTGAGGTCGTCGGTATTTGCCGGCCGAGTAGCGCTTGCTGTCGAAATCAGCGTATCGTCGATCGTCGGACGCACTGGCAGCTGGGATACGGCGTGTTCGTCTGTCTGTGGTCGGCGGCTAAACGACACTTGTTGTCGTGTAGCGGCGTTGTAATCGGTCTTCTCTGGCGGGGTGACGCTTGCTGCCGTTGAGCGGCGTGGTCGTCGGTGTTCGTCGGCTGGGCGCTTCTTGCGACCGTGGAGCGGTAATATCGTCAATCGTCGGCGGCTTGTGTGTTTGATCCGGGTCCTTCTTCTATCGGAACGTTCTTGGTAGACGTTGATAGTTGGAAGGTATGGAATGGACTGACTAGATTGCATTGCATTGCACGGTTGGAGGGACTTATAGTCCTTTTCCTGAGTTTCGGGGGGTTTAGCCCCATGACTCAGAGTAGAAGGTGGAGTGGTTGAGGTGCTTTTTATGTGCGCCTGGTCAGTTCACCGGGTCTGTTTCTGTTGAGTTCTGGTGGGCCGATCGTTTTGCCTATGCTTTGTAGGTGGTTGTAGTTGGATTGTTGGAGTTTGACGAACATGTTTTTTGAATTTTGAGTGATGGTTGTTTGGATCGATGGAATTTGGCTGCATTTTGAAATGACGGTGTTCCGGACAAACCAGGGCGAGCCAGTGATTGTTCTGAGGGCTATGCTTTGTACTGCTTCCAGCCGTCTCCAGTTTGCAGTTGATATAAGTGCACCCCATGCTGGACCGGCGTATGTGATTATGGTTTTGACGTACATCTGATATATGTTGAGCCTAGTTCGAACTGGGATCGGACTCAGCCGGTTGAGCACGGGGTATAGTGCGGCTCGAGTGCGTCTCGCTTTTTTCGTGGTTTCCGTGACGTGCCGGTTGAATCGAAGTCCACTGTCGAGGTAGACTCCGAGGTATTTTACCGCAGGTTTCCAGCTGATCTCCTGGTCGTAGATTTTTAGTGGTGTCGTATTTTTAAGACCTCTTCTAACGAACTTTATTGCCAGGGTTTTGTCGGTGTTCAGAGTCAGCTTCCATTTTTTAAGCCAAGGGAGGGTGACGTCGATTTGTGCCTGGAGTTTGTTCACTGCATGCTGTATGCCCATGCTGGTTGCCATAAACATGGTATCGTCAGCAAAGAGGTTAGTCCAGGTTCCGGGAGTAGAAGGCATATCGTTTATGTATGATATGAACAGAATTGGCGAGAGACAAGATCCTTGGGGGACGCCTGCAATCGGTGTTCTTGGTGTTGAGAAGTCGGAGCCGACTCGGACTGAGTATGTTCTGTCGGAATTGAATGATTGCACTAGTCTGACGAGCGAAGGTCGTACGTGTAGCTGGAGTAGTTTGTACAGTAGTCCGTCGTGCCACACTTTGCCGAACGCTTTCTCGAAGTCCAGGAATACAGCCGCTGTTCGCTCTTCTCGGTTTGTTGCGTTGGCTAGGTGGTCGATTACTTTCGTCAGTTGGTTGGTCGTTGAGTGTTGTGATCTGAAGGCATATTGGTCGGGTCGGAGGGAAGTAGATATGACTTTTTTCAGTTTGATCAGGATTATTATTTCCAGGACCTTGGCCATTGAATTGATGAGTGCTATAGGTCGGTGGCTGCTTGGATTTGTGAGATCTTTTCCTGATTTCGGTATCATGATCACTGTGGCTGCTTTCCATGGAGTAGGGAAGTGTTGGTATCTCAGACAGCAGTTGAAAATTTTGGTCAGAGTCGGGAGGGTTTTGTCAGAGAAGTGACGGAGAACCGTGTTGGAGATGCCGTCGGGTCCCGGCGCTTTGTTGCGTGGTAGTCGCTTAGTGATGTTTTTAACTTCTCCTAGATTGTCGAAAGTGTCCGGTATTTATACCCTTTTCGAGTACAATCGTTGTTCTTTATTTACGACGCGGGTCGTCCAATCGGACGCACCGTTTCAACTGGCGCCCAACTAGTGGCTCTCCGACGACACAAGAGAACCATCAACCAATAAAATTAAATCATTACCAGTAGAGAAAAAACGTCCACCAGACAAGTTAAATGTTTTAAATATATTAAAAGCAAAAGATCTAAAAAACGCGATCCGCAACACGATACACACACCATCAATACGTAAACGTCAACCATCTAGTCCGACAAATTTGTCAACAGTTCACTTCACTCACCCGGTGACAAATCTGGGGGGGGAGTTGTAACGGAACGAACAACCACCAAGTAATAAGATTAGGAAAAAGATACAGTATGACGAGTGAAAATCACACATGATGAATAGGAATGTCCATTCAACGGTGTGATTTTCATTCGTCTAAACGTATTTCGCGGACCAATCAACGACGGACTAGATTGTCGAAAAGGGACTAATATTACTAATATATAATAATTAATAATCTGGATCGTCTGTTGTAGACACAGGAATAGCAATAATCGTTGGATGTTTTCGTTTTAAGTGCTCTTTTAAAAAAATAATAAAATTAAAAAAATAATAGTTTGTTAAAAAATATAATATAGGTAAATATATAGTAGGAATTACGAATTAGGAAAATATGTATAACTAAATAATATAATATAATATTGTAGTATCTACCTTTTAAATTGTTTGTATTTCCATAAAACTTTAAGTCTTTCTTACAATTTTCAACTTGACAAGTTACTGTCGTTTTGTCACTATTTTTTTAAAATGCTCCCACACTATCGAACGCTGCTTATTTCCTGGTCGCATTTTAAAAAACTCGAGTTTGTGCAAAATTATATTATTATATAAGCTTTTAAATATTGTACTAGTACAGTAAATTACTTATTTATTAACTACCGATTCGTATACGGAATTTATTTCGATAAAAGTATAAAACCAAATAATATTATGACGTTTCGTGTACTACTACGTTGAGGTTGTGCAACACCGCGTCCATATTATAAAATAATATAATATAATAATAATAAATATCTGCGAGTGTAATAAAATAAGTCCAAATATAAATTATTCCATCATTCAAAACTAATTAATAGTTAATATGTGTAGTGAATCGTGAATGTATGAAATAATTATACACCCAGTATACTTATAAGTTATGAATAAATACTATAACGTCTATAACACAATGACAACGACCAAGAATTCCAGAACAGATAAGAGTATTTACTATTTTACTATTTTCTATGAAACTATTTCAGTTTTATACATTTATAATTATTTAAAATTTATATATGCTTTGAGATAATGTAGTCCGTAATTGGATTATTATTTTCGTGTTCTTTTAACTGAACGAAAATACTGTGAAGAGATTACTAGATTAGTAGAATAAAAATACTCGAGTATAATATTACTATTAGTAGTTATTTCATTAAATTTACTTATTTACAATTCGAGTAACTACTACCAAAATTAGTAATTACTAATTTTTGGTTTGATTTTTTCAGTTGGTTCCGAGAATCGAGACCGAGCAAATCATTCGATTATTTTTCATAACAATCGAGTTACTCGATTTAATCAAATAATCGAGTTACTCGATTATTTTCACTCGATTGTTCCCATCACTAGTAAATATATTATAAACCATAGTCCGTTATAAAGATAGGGTCCGGCAGTTGCCCGACGAGTACCCAAGCATCACCGATTGTGCCGACCCACTTAGTTAAGTCTGGTCGGCACACATCGACGCTTTACTCGTCCCAATATTGTGAATATAATAATTAATTTACATAGCAATAGAGAGACTTGATTACCAAAAATACAATCAATTGTTATGTGTGGAGTGAGGATAAAGCCAAGAGGGGTGCCAATGAAATAGCATCATGTCTATGGAAATATTTAAATAATTTAAACTCCATTACTAATTCACCAATTATATTCTACTCTGATAACTGTACCGGCCAAAATAAGAACAAATATATTGTATGTCTATACATGCTTGCTACCATGAAGTTAGAAATCCCTTCAATTACCCATAAATGTTTAGTCTGTGGCCACTCACAGAATGAAGGCGATGCAATGCACGCATGCATTGAAAAACAAAAAAAGAAGGTTCTTAAAAGTGGACCAATTTATGTCCCTGATCAGTGGATTCCAGTTATCAGTATGGCTAGAAAGTCAGAACCATATTTTGTAAATCAAATGACTACAGATGATATGATAGATTTTAAAAAATTAAGTGGACAAATTGGAAGTAATTTTAATGTTAATACAGACAGTAAAAAGGTATTGTGGGGATAAATCAGAACTATAGAAGTTACAAAAGAGTCAACTTTTAAAAAATTTTATAAAGAAGAACTGTCTGAAAATTCTTTTAAAATTATTGATGTTAGAAAACAAAAATTAAGAGAACGAAGGCCAACAATAAATCCAACAGATCTATCCTTAAACTTGGCATATTCAAGACAATGAAAAAGAAAACAGATTTATTGAGTCTTTGTGAAGCAAATGTCATTCCAAACACTTACCAAGAGTTTTATAGAAACCTAAATACAAACCTAACAGCAGATTCGGATGATGAATAAAATTAGGTATTCATTTTTATTTTTAACCACTAAGAGACTAAAGAGAAGTCATAACTTGTGATACAAAATATATTTTTTTTGATTTTATTAATTTAATTTTAAGTTTTTCTTGTTGATTATTATAATCTAATATATAAAATTCTCGTGTCACAGTTTTCGTTGCCATACTCCTCCGAAAAGGCTTGACAGATTTTGATGAAATTTTTTGTGCATATTCAGTAGGTATGAGAATCGGCTAACATCTATTTTTCATACCCCTAAGTGATAAGGGTTGTCCAGAAAAAAATAAAAAAAGTGCTCAAACAGGGATTTTGATAATTTACGGTAGAAATAATTGTTTATAAATGGTTGCTAAGGAATTGGTTATATATATATAAAAAAAAAAAAAAATAATAGACTGATACAACATACAAAAATACATACACCCTTCTACGATCAACCCTTATTTTTTAATAGCCATTTTAGTAATTTAATCATTTTTCCTTTTAATCAGCTAATTTAAAAAGGGTTAAATTTGTTTTTTTTTTTATTCATCTGATATTAGTACGGTTAGGATTTTGTATTAATTGATTATATTAATCCAATTTAGGTGGAATTAAGTAAAATGATTTAACTCTAAAGTATCAAAGTTATAAAAAGTTTGTCGTTTTTACTTAATTCCACCTAAATTGGATTAATATAATCAATTAATACAAAATCCTAACCGTACTAATATCAGATGAATAAAAAAAAAAACAAATTTAACCCTTTTTAAATTAGCTGATTAAAAGGAAAAATGATTAAATTACTAAAATGGCTATTAAAAAATAAGGGTTGATCGTAGAAGGGTGTATGTATTTTTGTATGTTGTATCAGTCTATTATTTTTTTTTTTTTTTATATATATATAACCAATTCCTTAGCAACCATTTATAAACAATTATTTCTACCGTAAATTATCAAAATCCCTGTTTGAGCACTTTTTTTATTTTTTTCTGGACAACCCTTATCACTTAGGGGTATGAATTATAGATGTTAGCCGATTCTCATACCTACTGAATATGCACAAAAAATTTCATCAAAATCTGTCAAGCCTTTTCGGAGGAGTATGGCAACGAAAACTGTGACACGAGAATTTTATATATTAGATTATAATAATCAACAAGAAAAACTTAAAATTAAATTAATAAAATCAAAAAAAATATATTTTGTATCACAAGTTATGACTTCTCTTTAGTCTCTTAGTGGTTAAAAATAAAAATGAATACCTAATTTTATTCATCATCCGAATCTGCTGTTAGGTTTGTATTTAGGTTTCTATAAAACTCTTGGTAAGTGTTTGGAATGACATTTGCTTCACAAAGACTCAATAAATCTGTTTTCTTTTTCATTGTCTTGAATATGCCAAGTTTAAGGATAGATCTGTTGGATTTATTGTTGGCCTTCGTTCTCTTAATTTTTGTTTTCTAACATCAATAATTTTAAAAGAATTTTCAGACAGTTCTTCTTTATAAAATTTTTTAAAAGTTGACTCTTTTGTAACTTCTATAGTTCTGATTTATCCCCACAATACCTTTTTACTGTCTGTATTAACATTAAAATTACTTCCAATTTGTCCACTTAATTTTTTAAAATCTATCATATCATCTGTAGTCATTTGATTTACAAAATATGGTTCTGACTTTCTAGCCATACTGATAACTGGAATCCACTGATCAGGTACATAAATTGGTCCACTTTTAAGAACCTTCTTTTTTTGTTTTTCAATGCATGCGTGCATTGCATCGCCTTCATTCTGTGAGTGGCCACAGACTAAACATTTATGGGTAATTGAAGGGATTTCTAACTTCATGGTAGCAAGCATGTATAGACATACAATATATTTGTTCTTATTTTGGCCGGTACAGTTATCAGAGTAGAATATAATTGGTGAATTAGTAATGGAGTTTAAATTATTTAAATATTTCCATAGACATGATGCTATTTCATTGGCACCCCTCTTGGCTTTATCCTCACTCCACACATAACAAAAACCATGTCTTGACGAAGTTTCGTACACAGTAATATTATATACTCCTAACTTTCGTTTGTAATAAAACATATTTACTTCCCCACAGGGCGTTTGCAAAATTGCTTGGAGATCATAACAACATACAAGTACTATACCTTCTTTTCCTTTTGCAACATCCTTTGCTTTTTCCTCACGACTTTGAATCTTTGCTTCCACATGAACATCATATTTTACACGCTGTAAATTTTTTTCTTCTTCACTGATATTTTTCCATGACTCGCATGTAGTGAACTGATCCTTCTTAGGTACAAAAAAATGTATATTTCGTTTATTATTAAATAAATCATAATAAACATGTTTATGAACATATTCTTTTTCATTTTGTTCTTGGTGTATCACATAAAGTCTATACTTGTCTGCAATTGTCAAACCACCATCAATGAATTCTCTTTGTGTTTGTGCTCTTAAATAATGAGACTCAATCCTTGGAAATGAGTCTATATGGTCTAACACTCCTCTTTTTAGCTCTTCTGAAATTTTTTGATGGTTCTTATGTTTTCCTTGCTGCAGTGGTTTCAATACTCCTTCAGAATCTAAGTTATTGAAACAGTTTCTTATCATTTTGTCACTAACAACAAGAGTTGCTTCGAACATATTTTTGCATACTCTTACTTTACCAATTTCTTCTGCTTCTAAATAGTAAGCCATGTTGTTAAGTTTCCTGTTGGAATTCAACTTTTTTTTAATATTTTTAGGTGAAACTTGTAGGTACCGCATGACGTACAACAAACTCACGCTGCCTATTTTTATCGCCCATCTCCCAAAACTTAGTTCTAATTTTTCCCCTTATTTCTAAACTAATGATAGAGCTACAGCTGTATCAACAATTTACACATGGAGCTTTTAATACTTTTGATTTAACAATTGATCCTGATTCACTGACATACTCTTCACCTTTATTTTTTGCTAACTTTTTTATATTTCTTTTCCAATTATCTGGCTTTCTTGTACGTTTTTTTGTAAGCATGACTTGAGGATCTTCATTCAGATTTTCATTTGTTTGTTTAGGTTCATAATTGTATAAATATGTTGGATCATCATCAATAAATTCAAATAAATTAATGTTTTTTAGTGTTTCTTGAAATGTTGAAACAGTACCTGCATCATAGTCAATGTCTGCAGGTACACCATGAGAAATAATATTGTCCTACAGAAATTATAATTGATAAAGAATAATAATATTACAATATTACTAAATAATATTGTTTGAAATACTTACTTCAAATTCCAACAGCAATTTATCAATTTCTTCAATGCTAGGTGTTTCATCAATACTGTAACTCAATGTAGTTGCCTAGCAAAAAAAATGAATTAAAACTTACCTGAATAATAATTAGGTATATAGTAGGTATTTGTATAAATTATTATAAAATATAGATTTTTAGATTATATTATCTTATGTACCTACATATTATAGCATAATAATATTATACATTAATAATAATAAAAAGTACCTATGATTTACTTTGATTAACATCATAATAAATAATAATATTATTACGATTATCGGTATACTGGTATTTTATATAATATCTTAGTAAGTATAGTATTTTAATTTTACAATTTTAACAATAGTAGATAGGCAGGTACTTACAACAGTTTCCTTGGTGGTTTTTGGATATTGTGCTTTGGCCATTTCCACAAGCTTCTGTACTCTACTTCGTGCAGTCATGTTTATTTTGTTTATATTATTAACAACTTACTGTATTAAAATATAAATAATAAATAAATGCATAATAACTCAAACAGTTAAACAACTTCAACTAAATTTAACTGATTAGGTACATTATTACAATTTACAATAATATTAATAAGACAATATCGATGTGTGATTATTAAAATATCTTATCAGCATGATATGGCGTAATTGCTCCGATAATATTTATTAGTTAAAAGACAATAACGCCACATATGCATATATGGCGTTATTGCACCGATTATTTTCATACATTTTGAATGAAATATAAATACTTCAATTTACGGCTATATTGCACTAAGCCACCTTATATACATCCTCAGTACAATAAGTTTCTTTCGATAACTATACATTGTACTCAAATAGGAGGTAGATGGCGCCACTACCAAAAAAATCAGAAAAAAAAACGAATCGGGGATATATATATCTCAAAAATCAATGACATCATCAACATTTTTAATTGGCACCTTTCTCGATTTTGCTACATCTAAAAACATATCCCTGTGTAATTTCAATTTATCACCATCAAAGTCAGATCCATAAAATTTAATTAGGTATATGTTTATGTGAAGTTTCTTTCCCAATGATGAATCTTTCAATTAATGATAAATGTGCAATAACATTTTGTTGAAACCGCCTATCTAATGAAGCTAATGTTACATCAATAATCTCATAGAATAAAAGAAAATGAAATGTCTTCTCGAATGTCAGAAAATATATGTGGTTCGCTCCCTCCAGTAAATCGTTTTGGTAGTTTTCGGATTCTAGTTTAACTTTTTCTTCCAAACACAATTCATTTGACTTTAGTTTTGAGTCATTCCATAAAATATCAAAACCAGAATTCCTTTATTCCTGAATTCATGCTCTTACATTTTTTATTTTATTTTGTGCTATTTGGAAGCTTAATGTTACTCTTTGCAACTCTGCATTTAAAAGTTCTACACTATCAAAAATTGAAATCATAATATTTGTAAGAAATCAAAAGTCAAATTTAGTTATCTTATTAAGAAATTCCTTTGCTGTCGCTCCAACTTCACTATTCTCATTCGAAAGAGTTTTTAAAAATTCAATCATTATTGCATAATTTAAATATACAGTTTTTAAAGAAATTTTTCTCATTGGGCAAAATGGTCTAAGAGATTTTGATGGTAAATTGTTTTCAATCTGGAGTTCATTAAAAATTGATTGTCTTTTTGGTGAATTTCTAACAAATGTTATCATAGACTTCATTAAAACCAAAAAATCACGAGATTTTTCTACTGTCATCATGGCATCTTGCACAACTAAGTTCAATGTATGTGTTGAACAATGAAAATGCAATGCACGTGGCTCTATGTCATTTATTCTTTTTTGAAGCCCATTAATAATATGTCCACTTACGTTAGCAGCACCATCGTAATATTGTCCTCGACAATCAGACAAATCCAATTCAAATTGAGATAAAACATTAGTTAATAATGAATACAACGTTGCAGCATCAGTTAATTTGGTTTCAAAAAATCCCAGAAATAATTCAAAAACATTGAATTTTTTATTAACTATTCTGAAACATATTGATACCTGTTCTTTACAAGTACTATCAGTAGTTTCATCAAGTGGGTAAAGTGTACAGTTATTGGCACCCTTTAGAAAAGTGTATATTTGTTTCCATGATATTTCAGACTTAAATATAGTAAAATGTCTATTATAATTTTCAATGATTAAGCAAATTGTTATCAATCTTACCTTATGATTATTATATATAAATATTAAATGCTTTTTTTTATTTACCATCAAGTAAAAAATAACCGAAAATTATAGTTATTGGCACCTAAAATTGTGTTATTGGTTTTATAATTTCTGTTATTGGCATCCTCTTAAATTATATATGTAATTTAATAGTTTCACCGATTAATTTGGTTAAATTAATAAATTAAACTACCTACTTTTACTATTTTATAGATAGATAGTAGCTACTAATTAGGTATAATTAATAATAATTAAAAAACACATATATAAGCACCAAACAAAGTTTAAACTACACCTAACTAATGAAAAATATACATATTTAGTTTATAATTCTTAATAAAATAACTAATGAACATATACCTACATTTTGTTATAAAGATATTTTATAATTTATTATTTAACTACATTTTATTTAATCACAATATAACATAGAACTGTATTGTGGTTAGGAGTCAAATAGATGCAAGTAATAAAAAAACTAAAATTAGTAGGTACATCTAGCAGCAACAATAATAGTTATACTAAACAACTTTAATAGGCAGGTACCTATTATAATGTAGGTACCTGATAATTTAGTTAAAGTATTTGATTATAATATGAAGAAATAATAAAATATATTTCAAAGTTTAAAATATTTATTTGGTTATAATTAAAACAGTATTAGTTTTATCACTCTTTTTAGTCTTAAGATTTTCTCAAATTTAATAGTTAACAATTAAATAAAACACAATTAAATTATTTAAGTTTCAAACTTAACAAAATTTAAAAAAATTAACAATATAGAACTTAATAAACTAAAAACAATAACATGATTTAATTTGCAAAACAAAATTTAAAAATATTAAAAATTTAGAACTTAATAAATTTTAAAAAAACAAAGTATTTGATTATAACAAGACGAAATAATAAAATACATTTCAATGCTTAAAATATTTATTTAGTTATAATTAAAACAGTCTTAAGTTTTATTATCACTCATTTAAGTCTTAAAATGTTCTCAAATTTAATAGTTAACAAATAATACCTATTAAATAAAACACAATTACATGATTTAATTTTCATAATGAAATTTAAAAATATTAACAATTTAGAACTCAATAAACTAAAAAAACATTGCACCTACCTTGTAATAACAATAAATATTAAATAAGTAGGTAGTTGGTACATGTAAAAAAAATCTTAATATATTAAACTAAAAATATAAATCTCATTGGTGTGATGGTTAAATTTTTTTGGCAGGAGTTACATATAAATAAAATTGATTCCCCTGATCTTTCATTGCAGATTTCATTTGTATCTAAACATTTTAGATGATAAATGTATGAACAAAACTCACAAGACAAACCATTTTGAACATCATTTAAACTATGTCCACATCCAAAACAAAGTCTTGTATTTTTATAAATACTAGAAGAACTTGACTTGTTACCACATTTATCTGTGTTTAAGGTCAAAACATCAGAAAATTGTTTTGTTTTAGAATTTTCAAAAATTCCACTAGTGATAGTTTCAACTGGTTTTTTATTTGAAGCCAATAGTTTAAAAATATTTTCTGACTACATTTTTTCTTTTTGTAATGTTTTTAGTTACAGGCACAATTTTAGTTTTAGTTAATTTATCCTCCAGTCTTTGTTTTTTCCTGTTTTCTTTTTGTTCTATAATGTTTCTTTTTGATTGTTCTTTTTTTTTCATACATTCTTTGCCTCTTATCAGAAGAAATAACAAATATAACCCTCTCGGTATTTCGCTTACCCTTACGTTCACGAGTTATTGGCCATATTAGAAAAGTGTCAATTGGAGACACCTGAAGTTTTTTTTATCTTAGTGCGTGGTGTGATAATTTTTTCTTCGGATTCTTGTAATACATATTTATCTGTTGTAATTGAAATATCAATATTATTATTTTCAGGTGAAATAACTGCACTAGTACTCTGTTCAACATAAATATCATTTTGATCTACATTAAACATATTAGTATATTACTATCGTGATTGTTGTCATCTAGAAATAGATTATCAATTATAAAATTATCATGGTGATGTAGATTATCAATTATAATATCATCTTGATATTGAATACAAATTTCACCTTCATTATTTGAATTCTCTTTTAATAAATTGTACACATTAATTAATGCTTGCAATTCTTCAGATATAGGTGTAATTTCTATAGAATCGTTAATAGTATTACATTTTGTTACAATTTCTGGACCAATAATATCACACAATTGATCAAAGTTCAAATTATTTTCAGTCAAAAAATGCTCATCAACTGCAGCTACTAAATTTTTGCCAAGACATTTATCAAAATTTATATTATTTGGGTTCTATGGATATAGTCCGCAAGCTCTAAACCCATTTTTTTTAATTTCTGGTGTTATGGTTTCTTTAATGACATTTTGTAAAATTGGAGCAAAATCTACTTTAGTTACAGCCGCCATTGAACAATTTTGTTTCCTCCACTCAAATACTCCTCTTTTCCAACCTTCTTTGAGTGGGCGAAAAGCAGCTACGTCGGCTGGTTGTAATATCCTAGTCGAATTAGGGTATAGGGCAACTAAAATAATTTGTAAGTCAGAAGAAAGTTTACTAAGTTGATATGTGAGATGACTTTTATGGCCGTCAATAAATAAAATTACAGGTAGTTTTATGTTATTCTGTAGTAAAAAAGGATGAAAAATATTTGCAATAAACTCATAAAACGTTTAAGATTTCATCCAACCACTGTCAGACAGACCGATTCCCCGGTTAGTCGGTACTGAGCTCGAAATATTTTGAGGAATTCTTTTGTAATTGTATACAACCATCGGGTGACACATCACTCCAGCTGCACTAAATACAAACATCACGGTTACATTTTCTTTTGAATTCCCTACTGAGACTTCATATACATCTTTACAACCCCTGGGAGATAAAACTGCTTTTGTTTTGGGACACAAGGAAAACCCGGTTTCATCACCATTAAAAGTTTTTGTTGGATCACTCAATATATCATATAAACTTTCTTCTTTTAAATACCGTTTAATACCTTCAAACCATGTTTTTTATATCCTGTTCACTAATACAGGCACTTGCAGCTGTCACATGCTCACTTGTCCTGACAGATATATTTGGATGACGCTTCATGAAAGATTTGTACCATCCAATACCTATAAAAAGAATAATAAATGGTTATAATAATATAATAATTTATTTAACGTAACAAAATTACCAGGAAAATTATTTTTAAAAATAGTAGTACGCTCGTTT